TATATATATATATATATATATATATATATATACACACACACACACACACACATTTAAAACTGTTAACGCTATTTCTACTTCAAGTTGATTATAAATAACTTCTATTGAAAATAAAGTTCATCGCAAAGTTCTTGGTGCATGTTTTATGTTACCTTTGTGAACAACTTCAAGGGCATGGTGGATTTCATCTAATTTTGATTACCGATAGAAAATCAGATTTTGACGACATTCTTCATGTATCTTTTGAGCAGGAGAAAGGCCATGCTGTTTACACTTGTGAGCTATGCCAGAAAAATGGAACTGGGAACCTGTTATTGCCATTTGAGGGCAGTGTCGATCTTTCACCATCAACACCTGATGGAGCAAATAGTGTAGAATTAGAATTAACAAATCGGTGTGATCCGACCTCAAATGTGACCAACGTAGCTGCAGAACATAATGGTGAGGTCTGTATATACTTGTACAAAAATCAATGGATTGAAGTATGAAACCTTTCCTAACCCTGAACGTTCTGATTTTTATGATTCTTACCCATTTATGGATTTTTTATATAGTTGGGGCTATAGTGCTCTTGTCATTTTAGGAATTTCTCTGCGAGGTAGTTATTGGGTGAATTTTAAAACTTTTGGGGTGTCTTTGGAAAATTCATTGGTAAATCTTGAGAAAAAGTCAAAATTCAGAAAAATGAAAAATAGTTTCTTCCATTTTTGAAGAAAGCTTCAATGAACTTCTATTTTTCCTTTTGATAACTCATCAAGTGATGAGTTCTCAACTTGCATTTCCATTGAAAGCTTTATTACATTTAAGCTAGTTTATTTTTTAATAAATTGGGAATAAAACATTATAGGGGTTATTATCACAATGCGAATTTGAATATATCGAGACTCTTTGGGTTTTCAGGACTTTATGGTAATAGTTTTTTGAATGTTTTTCAGACACGCTTCATATGTAGCAGGCTGCAAAAAAAACTTCGGATTCTTTGCCTTCATGGGTTTCGACAGAATGCTTCAAATTTCAAGGGTAGAACTGCCTCATTTGCTAAGAAAATCAAGCGCCTCGCAGAATTAGTATACATAGATGCGCCGCATGAGGTGCCTTTTGTTTTCAGGCCACGAGCCTTCTCTGATCAAGGTCCCCCTCTTGAGAAATGCAACCGAAGGTTCGCTTGGTTCATTTCACCTGAATCTCACGCTCTCAAGGATGAAGCTGAAGAACATGAAGGCCCAAAGTGGGTTCAAGCCGATGAGCCCTTTGATCCACTTCAGTATGAGAAGCAAACTGAGGGGTGGGAAACTTCATATGCTTATATTATGGAAATGGTTCAACGACTGGGCCCTTTTGATGGGGTATTGGGTTTCTCACAAGGAGCTGCCATGGCTGCTACTCTCTGTGCAAAGCAAGAGAGGGAAAGTGAAGGCCAGTTGAGTTTTGGGTTTGTGATATTGTGTTCGGGTTTCCTCTCTCCTGTGAAAGAGTTGTTTCAGGGCCCCCCCATCAAGTGCCCCTCGCTTCACATTTTTGGTAGTGAGAGAGGAAACGACCGGCAGATAACACATGCTGTGAGTGTGGAGCTTGTGAGCATGTTTAGCTCAGATACTTCAGTTTTGTTGGAGCATGATTCAGGTCACATTATCCCCACACGACAATCGTATATCGATCAGATTAAAGCCTTCCTTGATGAGGGAGGTGTGCCATGATACAATTGAAAACACCCCAAAGGTGTATCCACCATCCCTTTTTGATGATGGACACTGGCATTTACCCCGGTAAGAAGAATGGACCTGTCAGTATAACATGGATCGTATCATATGCCCTAGGCCAGTGTACTATTATATAATTTGGCTTCTATGTTTGGGGCATCATCATCATGGTAAAGGTGGATGATGACCCTCATCTTCTTGATGGAGTGATATGGGATTAGCCCTGGGGCATGGGCTTCTCATTATCCCTCGCATTGGGCTTGCAAGACTATAAGAGGAGAATGTTGTATCGTGGTTTTAGATAATGTGATGGCGACGCATTTGAAGTAAATGATCTTGAAAATGAATTATTCTATCTCGGATCTTTTAGATTTTGACAATTTTGTTTGTATGAATTTGTTATTTAATGTTTGCAAAAGCGGTTGTTTCCGTGGGGACACCTAATTTGGGAAAAGGTTTATACGAGGTTGCAACCTTATACTAGAGAAGTAAGGTGCATCTCAAAAATTAGAGTAGCAAGTAGTGTTTCGTTGAAAAACTTTTC